CTGCATACTGCATATAGACTTTATGAAAGATTAACCCCACCATGACAGAGACGCGGCAGCCATCTTTGTTTACTACCAGCTTTTCTTTTTGTGTATTACACTGAAGAAGAAACAAAGGTTTGGTCTCGAGGGTGGTGGTGGGGTTGATTTTGTGGCAGTAAAAGAACATCCTACTTTTTTTCTGTTTTGTAGTTAAGGCTTCTTTCCATATTTCAGGGGGGATCTTTTCAATGAGATGACAAGCTTTCTGCAGGAATCTGTGCTAAATGGATTTCACACCACACTCCTCGCAACAGGGGATTTATGGCGCTGGCGGGCAAGAGAGCAGTATCTGCCACCAGAATGTCAGCACTTTCCAATCCGCCATTTGAACTGCAAAACACTGTGGGAAAACCCTGTACAAGATAGTTCACGGCATCAGCCCCACTTGGAATCCTTAAAAAAAAACAAAACAAAAAAAACGTAAAACGCAGCTGGTGTTTCTCCACGATAAAACAAGAAGTAAAACCCACAGAGGACACGAAGTCTGTGGGTATATACAAAGTGTAAGGCATTTCTGTTTCTAAGAAGTCTTTGTGAACGTGAGGAAGCCCAACCCTGCATTTTTTTTTCAATATGGAAGTTATTACCACAGCGCTTAATCCTGCACACTGTGTGCAGCTACTTAGAGAGAGAGAGAAAGTGTGTGCATGAAGGGGAGGGGAGAGAGGGGGGAGAAAGAGGTGAGGCTTTAATTCCAGCTGAGGATGGCAGGTATGTTAAAACCAGATAAAACGAGACATTAATTGAGTGACAGAATTTGCTAGTGGGTTTTATCACAGGATACGTGTGTGTGTGTGTGTGTGTGCAGGCTTGTGAGAAAAAGAGGATTTATGCTTGTGTGGTCTAACTGAGTCTCTCTTTTTTTTTCTTTTTTTGGTCTGCTGGTTTTGGGCCATTGCTAGAGGTGTGTAGGCAGGAGGTGTGAGAGCGAGGATAGGTGAACCAGGTGCCGCTTCCTTCCTCAGCGTGTGCAGCTGTCTCAAAAGCCTCTTGATCCCAACAGAAACTTGAAATCAGAGAGCTTTGATAGGCCACTCGGAGGGGAGGCTTTAAAAGATGTGAACGTCCTTCCACGTCATTTCTCTTCAGATGCTGTGATTTGTTCGAAATCTCCAGATTCTCACACAGTTTGAATCACCTCCAGGAGAGAGCAAAAGTGGCCCTTTTCTCATACACGGACATACGTGAGTCCCGAGTTTGTTAATCAGTGCTCAAAAAGTTTTTGCCACAGTTGAAAGCTAATACTATTCAAGGCCTTGTGTGAGTGCGTCTCCAGCAGCCTCCGTCTGACGCTTTTAGCGGGGCGTTGAGGACACATTTGCTTTCATTTGAGGAGCAGACCGAGGTAATTTTGACCAGACCCTGGAGCCTCTGTGCTCATCTTTTCTATTCCCATCTCTTTTTTAGGCTGCCCTGATTCCATATCCTGGTTTTTTTGTAGAGGAGGTGAGGGACTATTGTAGCACAAAGTACAGCATTCACTCTGATGGTAACAGAGATACATGTGAACATAACGCACCCCTGAGTGCGCCATATGACGCCTCATTATATTTCACTGACTGATACAGTTCAGGCTTTCACAGGAATTAAAGGCTCAGTTTGCCTAAAATACAAACAACACTGTTAGCAAAGTCAGATAAAAGCAACATTATCCACATGGATGCATTAACCTAACCATGGATTTAAGAGTTGTTGATAATTATAAATGGTTTAAACAACTTCTTGGTTCTTCTTCTTGTTTTTTTTTCTTTTTTTTCCTTTTTTTTTTTTTTTACAAATACTAATATCAGTTTGTGTGATCAGTCAGATGATCTGCATATGACTTTGAGCTGACAATGAGCAAAATGGGCCTCATTCATGCATTTGTAAGCCGAATTAATTAAAGCGCAATGTATGGAAGCCTAATAGGTGATTAAGTATTTAAATGAATGTTATTTGCATAATATATCCATTTTGTTAATGCTGGTAATCGATTTTTGTGATTGCAGCCTATTTCCAAACATACACAAGAGTAATAGCAAACAGTCACTTTATAATGTGCTTACAAACAACGATAAACTACATTAATGACTTTTATTATTTATTGTTATTGTTATAGTTCATTATTATTATTCACCCTGAATGAATAACTCTGTTGCATAGGATTTTGAATGACATAAACAGAATATGCATAAAACACAATAAATATAAAAAAGAAATAAATCCCTGCATCAGTGGCATCAAGTACAACATGACATGATGTAAGCATGAAAAAGTGAATTGTATTTATCATTTAACATAAGAATTTATATTTTAGTAGCTCCATAATGTAAAGATTATCCACCATACTTTTCACTTCATAATGTGAAGCTTAAAATTTAAAATTCTATTTAGACGCTTCTTCCTTCAAAGTAACATTTTCAGATTAGTTTTCAGATTTAGTAAATATTAATACTTGATAAAATTGTAAATAGTTATGTAATTATTCTATAGCTTTTGCACAGTTTCTGTCTTTTTCCACCTCCTTACAGTTCTGAGTAAATTCATTTGCCAAAAAATAGACAAACACATATTAAAGATGAGTTTTACACAGTAATAATAATAATGGATTGGATTTATATAGCGCTTTTCAAGGCACCCAAAGCGCTTTA